CCCTCTTCTCCTACTTTTGCCTTTCTCTGTGTAATAAGTAAACTAATGGGTTCCCGCAGGAAACCCGCCGAAACCTCTCAGTCTAGGGGTGGTCTGGCTACAGTACCTTTAAAACAGAGTGTGCACATGTTTTAAAATGTTAAATGTATCAAGCTGCACTATGGGGATCTAATTAAGATTGTGTACTCTACAGTCTTGAGAAAAATGGGCTGGTTTTAGTGGTTGGGCAATAATGTGGCGAGTGGTGCATGCTGCATTTTTACAGTCTCATGACATTCCTTCAATCTAATTCGAAGCAGGCGTGCAATAGGGATCATAACATTGGGTTCTTTGTTATATTTGTATATTTGTTCCACCGGCTTTTATTTATCTGTTCTGCTAGTTTTTAGATTTGCTTTAATAGCTTCCACTTGAATTTAGGCTTTGTCATATTATTTAAGTTTAGTGGGAATACATTTTTTTTTAGATGGTATTCTCGCACAAAATGGCTTGAAATGTATTTAACATCGCAAACCGCATCATAATGATGGCATTCTCTCTGTTTGCACAGAACTGTTCTACTGTGGACTGCTGGAAAGTTGAATGCAATGTGGGTCTTCTGCAGAAGGGGACTACAGCTATCCTTAAAATGCGATCCCGTGTCTGGGCTGAGACCTTCACTGAGGTTTGTGGGGGAAGAACCTTGCCATACAAACTCCCCACACACATACTGTACATTTTACATATCTTCCAAACACAAGACAAAATACAGTAATAAATTGATCTTCCCCTACCAGTGGCTGTATATTTTCTCATGTCAGGCTCTGGGAGGAAGTAAGAAGCCATTTTTATTAAAGCGTTATTAAAACAACACTGAGACTCGACCTCAAATGTGCTGCTAGGAAAGGCAAATAGTTGGAGTTGTCAGTAAGACATGTTTGGTTGTGATCAATTTGTACTCAGCAGCAGCTCTAAACCAGTTAACAGTATTGCCAGTTACGCATATTTGCCTAAACAAATGAGACAACAGTTGCTTTCTGAGGATGCAGTTTGCTCCACACTGGTGTTCATACTGCAGCTTCTACCAGTGTTTGTCATGTCTAAAATACACAGATTATTTCCCATCTATGTGGTATGTACTGAAAATTTAATATTTGGTTATCACAGCTTCTCATAGGGTAGGAATGCTAAAGGGTGTTTCGCAGGGAGATGCACATGGTCAATGTCGCCACCTAGTGTATAACTAGTATATTATATGCATTTTGAATGTAATTTTTTTTTCTTCTTCAGAGAGCTTATAAGCAATATGTGCTGGAGTGCCTGGCAGAATACCGTGTGAAGAAGATGCCATATGCAATCCAGCCTAAACTTTTTCCCAGTGGAAACAAAAAGGTATTTAATGTGTTTATTAAGTTATTCAATTTATTAGAACTTGTTCATTTCACACAAATCTATATTTTTAGTACATATTTTTGTATTGTTGTAGTTTGGAAGAAGACATCTTGTCTTGTCATCCTCAGGTGGTGACTCCAGTGGTTTGGAACAAGCCGGATATTGAGAACTCAGTTCCACTGTGGATCATCATCTTGGCTATTCTGGCTGGTTTACTGCTTCTGGCTCTTCTCATATACATCTTATACAGAGTGAGTACTGCTGTGATATAAAAAGAATCATAGCATGGTTTTGATCTGAAAGATCAATGAATGTGATTTTGTCTGTTCTCGTTTATGTTTCCTGCATTTCTGAAATGTTTTTTTTTCTTCTTGCAGTTGGGCTTCTTCAAACGATCTGACCCTTACGGCACTGCCATGGAGAAAGCGGAACTCAAACCGCAGGCTGCCTCTGAGGCCTAAAAGACCACCAAAGCTACCAAAACCACAGTACCTGGCCATATGATTGCAACGGAGAATTGTGGTGGAATATGTAGAGTGGATTTAAAAAAAAGAAAGAAAGACAGAAGCAGTTGAAGAGTTACAAGAAAGAAAGACTACTGGAACTCCACTGTGCTGCACTAGAGGAAGACAAAACTCCAAAGATCTCAAAGCCAAATGAATGTTTTCTTTTTCTATTTTTAATTTATGTCTTTTTTGCTGGCAGGGTTGGACTGTTATCAAATGGAACTTGTGTCAATGCATAAGGCTAACATTGGACTGTACAACAAAAAACGACTGCAGAAGAAATGCAGGCTTCCGTCAACCTGCAGATGCAGGAAGATGGGTTTAATTTTATGGATTCTTGGTATGGATCACTTTGTTATTTCCCTGTAACTGCCTTATATTGGTGCTAATGATCTGATATGATTGCTGCCTCTGACAGGATATGGCCACATGTTGCTTGTGGCATCTAGGAGCTGTGAATTATGCTGCCTGCTGAGGCCTGAAAGTATTCTGATATCTCCTAAACACATTTAATTGACAAAAAATAAGAAAACTATTTATCTGCCTTTAGTAAAGGCAACATTACATCGACAAATATTTAACAACAAAACCTGTTTTAAAGCTCAGATTTCATAGCTAATTGTAATTCAATTCCTTTGCTAAAATTTAAGTAATTTTAAATCCCAACTATTCAGAGGTGCTGATTCTTGCCCAGTGCATGCTGGGATATGCTCCACCACTCCACCACTCCGGAAATTTAAAAAAATGCATAGATGGACATTTCTCACCCGACCATGGAACTGATCTCTCTCTGCCTCAGGTTGGTGGACAGTGCCGGGTTAAGTTGTTTTTGCACTCAAAGGAAATCTACTGATATTATTCCAAAGACACCAAAGACTGACTGACCTTCCTTTGAGTTCTGAATTTGACTCCTACTGATCACTTTGTTTAAATCCTGTATGTTTGAGTCGAGAGTTACCAGTGCTGGCAATGTCATTGTTGTGTAGTCGACTGGGATGGGACTGGAACCACCACAGGCCTGTGAAACCTCATGTAAGGCCTGAAGCAGTGTGGTGCTTCTGTCAAAACGCAGTGTTCTCAAGATTTAGTTTTAATGTCATTACTCCTGCTTTCTTTGGATTGGGTTCATTCAAGATGGAAGCCTAAATGAAGCAAATTGTGCTTACGGTGGAGGAAATAAGCATATAATGATTTTTTTTTTTTAAACTGAAGACATGACAATCAGCAATCCTGTAGCCTCGACAGTAGGCTGAAGGCAGAATGATTCTTTTTCAGCATAAAATGTGTGTTGCTGTGAGATACTGTATTTTTCTATTCTTTTTTTTCCTCTTTTTTTGTGTAAATGCTGCCCATGCTTAAAATGAGAAGTAGCTGAAGCCATCCCACACCCAGAGGCTGCAGGGACGCAACATTAAAATGCCTCGTGTTGGTTTCTTTTGACATATGCATAAGTTTAATGTGTCCTTAATGTAAATACTTAGTGCTTGTCAGTTACCGTTCCAGGTGTGTGTGTTTACATGTATACATGCGAGATTTCATGAATACATGCATTTGTGTGGATGGTATATTTATGAATGTTTGTTTTTGTCTTATTACCTTTCCCACTGCCTAGTCCTTTTTATGCCAATCACATCAGTAGCTTGAGATAATTGAGCTTAACCAGTTCTGCGTTACTTTTAAAATTGATAGCATAAATACCTCTAACAAAGGGATGACAGCTAGGCACTGGGAACTACATGTTGTTTGGAAGTGCAATATTTATATTCACTTGTTTTAATATTACAGTGCTTTCTTTTGATTTATGTTTTGTTTGTGATTGATTTGTGATAAATCAGACCTTTACGTGTGAAGGTGATGAACATGTAGCCAAATCCTTTGTTGGTGGTTCACTTGCTTTTTCTCACTAAGCATTATTTCAGGTGTGAAAGTTTTTGTTTTTCAAGGATTTTTCCCACTTCATATGTACTCTCCACTGCAGGACCTTTCTGATCTCACTTTTTGTAGCATAGATTTTCATAAAAATACAAGCACATTTCTGGTATGTTGAATTAGTTTGGTGATTTATGTGCTCTGGTGTTGCACCTGTCCAAACAGCATCATACTGACCGTCTGCAATGCATTTGTTTGCTTCATTAAATTCTCTCCATAAATCCCCTTGTAGTTGATAGATACAATTTTCCAGATAGTCCACAAAATTTGCATTTGGAAAATTATTTTTTCCTAAAATGTAGTCAGTAGACTTTTTTTTTTTTTTTTTAAAACGAAACACAGAAAATCATTTTTTATAATGATGGGATCATTTTACTTCTTCCTCCTCAGTTACATCAGGAGAAAGCACTGGTTTCTTCATTTTGTTATTTACATGTCTTAGCCAGGACTTTCAAAAAGGTGTTGTAAATATTAATAAGATGGAGAATTGTGAATATCCTCACCCCATATTGGGGAGACCCTTTAATGTCAGGTGGAATGGGGGCTCTTTGAAGGTCAATTTTTACCTGTTACGGTTTGTACTTTAAATAAAATGATTCCTTTTTAAACATGTTTGTACTGTCATTAAATACACATTAGTGGGAAAATAATTTATTTAGAAAATAATATACGAAATTATGCATGTCAGTTAGTGCCAAACATGATCTGATACAATATATTTAATGTGAAAACACTTGTGCACTGACCTAAAGTGGTTAATTGTGGCACAGGTCTGTGTTCTTATGGCAGTTTTGTGGAATAAACAATGTGATTCTTCCACAGACAGCAGTATAAAAAAACTTCACAAAATGAATTTTAACACCAAAGACAAGAATACTTCACTGTACATCATGTTGTAACATTTCCTTTTGAAGGGATCACTTGAAATGGTTAGACACCAGTGTGACATAAGGCTTTCTGAATAACCACAAGTCCTGTCAACACAGAGTCAGGGCCACTGGAGCTCATTTCTGTGCACAGAGCCCATTTTGACTGTCAGTGTTTTGCTGTGCAGAAAGCTTCTCCAGTAATGTCCAAACTCCTTAAGTAACAATGAATTTCCATGGGATGCTACATCTCCAAAGGTCCAGTTCCCACCTCTAATTGAGATGAGTTTGGAGGTTTTATTCCGTTATACAGAGTTAATTTTTTGGCTGTGATTTTGCTTCAGTTTCACAGTCCTTGCACATTTTCAGTCATATTTCCTAGCAATCGATTGTTCTCGATAGCTGCGTAAGCTTGCGCTGGTTGTCAATCACCTTCAGGTTTTGGATATAGTGCCGGATGTTTGTGGAAGTCCGCAGAGGAAAGGCGTGATCTGAATCTAGAAAAGATTAAAATCATGCCTGAATCTGCATATGTTTAAGTTTTTGTACTTTTGTAGAAACAAGGTTAAACTGAACTTTCTATAGATCTTATGAAGAAAATATTAAAAACGGTCGAATGGCATTAGAGATGTGGCTTACATGTAGACAAGCGAGTAGCAGCGCCTTCCAGAAACATACGATCTGCCAGGCCTCTCTGTGGAGATGAAGGCACTGCAGAGGGAAAATAAAACATTATCTTACCTGATGTATGCACAAAACTGCATTGTATGTGTTTACTCCAACATGCATGTGAATTACTTCCAACTTTTCCTGAATGCATACAGTCTCAAAGGTATGAAGTCAGTGGGCCCGATCATTTTGCTGCCAAACTATCACTTACCATAAGGTTGGCTTCTGCATCCTCGAACGATTTTCACTGTTTTGGCAAGCATTCGCTACGACAAGGTGAGAAAAGGAAACTCTTCAAGTCAGTCTCTTACTGAGGATATGATTTGTAAGGAAACAATTACATAACAACATTTGAAAATAACTTTTCCATACCATTTTCTCAAAATTGACCAGTTTGTCTACGTAGTTTGCGTTTCCCTCATGGATAAACGTCATGTCTAGATATAGGAAGGGACAGAAGTAATTAGTATCTTAATAATAAGGACTTGCCAGTGGATTTGCGATTTACTGGTGTCTGTTACCTTTCAGCAGCAGAGGCATGAAGGGAATGTAAGGAGGACTGAGTTTAGCTATAGCCAGTCTGTACGCCCTGTGGTTGCGTGAAGGGTCCTAAAAGAATAAGCGAGCATAGCACAATCAGACCATTAGAAACCTTAAAGAAAATATATTGTTTAGGACATTTATAAAACTTATTCAAAGCTGAGTACATAGTATAATTTACCATGAGTCTCTCAAGAGAACAGTAAATCCTTTTTGTCTTGCTGGGTATTCTCTGTAACAGACAAGCAAAAGATTGCAAAGTCAATTTTAAAGTATTTGTTTAGTAAGTGTGGCAGAACATTTATTATCATCATGCCTGCTGCCTCAAGGGGGCTCTCACCTCCCAGGTCTTGTAAAGCCTCTGAATTGCACTGTTGCTTAAGCCAAACATCACAGCAAAGAATGAATTTAGATTCTTCTGCTCCTTTAATCTGTGATGGAGAGGACACATGACTGTAAATAAAGTGCAGTCCTTGAAGTGATGCTGGATGGATAAAGTTTAAGATGGGGGGATAAAAGTAAGTACAACGGTCCTGCCCGGATACTCACAGTGACAATACCTGTATGATTACAATATATGATATTAAGCAGGATATTAATGTTTACTGTATCAATTTCCTTTTTTGGTATAAGACCATGCTAATTCTTCTAAATGTATACTATATACAAAAAAAGTATTGGGCCGCACCTCAGTGGATAAAAAATGAGTTGGCCTGGATCTTTTAGTTTCAAAGAACGAAAACCTTAATGCTTCTGCTTACTAAGACATTTTGGACAATTCAATGGTTCGAATGTTGTGGTAACAGTTTGGTGAAAACCTGTTTCTGTTCCTGCACGACTGTGCTCCACTGCACAAAGCAATGTGCACATATCCTCCGAGGAGGACTAAAAGACTCCAGGTCTCTTTTATCCCTACTGCGTCTTGTCTCCTTAATGGCAAATAATTGTCCTTGAATCTTCTATCATTATTATTGTTATTATTGTTTTATAGTATTGTTTTGGTTGTTTTTATCCTCCTGCTGCTAAACTAATTTCCCCTTGTGGGACAATAAAGAAATTGAATTGAATTGAATTGAATATTTCACACATTTCTCTGTGAACCATAAATGCCAAATGTTTGCACCAAACCATCTGAGGTTTCAGTCAACACGTCTAAACTATGAGTTGCTTACTGGTAAAGTAGATGCACCTATGGTATGACTCTGAAAGTCGTAGATGACTTCCTTGTTGTGTCATTACATTACAATGTGACATTGACCTTGAGGCTGACGTCACTGAGATTTAAACTGAGATTTGATTTATAGTAGATGCACCTATGGCATGAATCTCAAAATCCTACATTGCGTCATTCTTGAGTTATCGCAACCATAAATTTGACTGTCCACGCCGCCCACCTGGTAAGGTGATGACAACACCCCATCGGCCTTTCAGGGCCGGGAAAAAGGCAAGACAAGCGTGAGGTCAGTAGGTTTCACTGTTGAGATGCTTATTTGTTCAGTGGCCAACCTGCTTTGGCTAAATGTATGGTTTATGCAATTAATTCTTACACTGAAGCGATCTTGATAAACTTCTTGAGCAGCATAGCACGTTTCACGAGGTCTTCACATAGGCACAGCTCAGTCAGTACCCAGTGCTGCACCTCATTAAAGCGACGCACAAACCGCTCTAGGTTAGCCGTGATGGCTCCAGGGAATTTGTGGCGCCCAAAAATGTAGTAGACCAGCTCCACCTGGAGAGACACAGACAATGAGTCACAACCACTGGCATAATTTAAACACACCGTGAAACAAGCAGACAGGAAGTCTTTTGCAGGTATCTTTTGTTTCTTTAGAAATGTGAGGCATGCAGGAAATGACCCAAATAATCTGATGGCAGAGATGATACTGGTAGATAAAAGGCGGTAAAGTTTGAGAGTCATGCAAAGTTCTTTGTTGCACGAATGCTACTTTGAGCTTTGGTTATGTATGTCAGTGAGCAAATAAACAGCTATGGGCGTAGTGGCCATGAGATACAAAACACAACTACAAAGAGAAATCCACAACATTTAGAAAATGCAACAAAAACAACAATTCAGAGAAAAACAAAAACAAATGCAGAACACTTCAGAACATGCATAAAGAATGTACAACAGGCAAATACACTGTTGAGAAACAAAAAGGCTTCAAAACCAAAAAGGAAATGCTGTTATAGGTTCCCTCGCCACCAAAACAGTCTTCTCCTTCCTGCATGGTTCTTTCTTCTTTCTCACTCCCGTCAGGCTGTATTTGCTCAAAGGGGATTACCAGATCATTGTGTATCACTCTCTAATGTTGTAGGGCTTTTATCTTACAATATAAAGTACACAGAAATAGCAATTTTTGTAAAATATGCTATATAAATCAAATTCAATACAATTAAAGTTAATTACTAGTTAATACTCTAGTGCAGGGGTGTCAAACTCAAATACACAGTGGGCCAAAATTCACAACTGGAACAAAGTCGCGGGCTAACGTTAATATTTATTGAAATATATTTATTCCTCCAGATATAAGAATGAATCTTTTCTTATGGACTCAAACACGTTTTGCTGAAAAACTGAATATGGAACAAGCAAAGCTTAATACTAAACAATATATATATTAGCTGTATAATACCAGTAGGCCAGCTCTAATAGTAATTTGGTATGGCTTCGGGGGCCAAATGTAATTAGGCTGTGGGCCAAATTTGGCCCGCGGGCCAGAGTTTGACACCTATGCTCTAGTGTTCTGAAGCAGTTTTGAAGCAGTTGATTGGTAAAATCACACGAAACATCAATCATAGCCGCCAAGTTACCTCGTGCATGGCAGTGAACAACTCCCAGTCATAATTGGTGAGCTCACTGGCAATGTCTTTAGAAGACATCTGTTCAAGGACGTCAGCGGTTCCTTGCTCTGGACCCTGCTGCTCCTTTAGAGGTGTCTGACAGAGAGAGAGACGGCGCAGTGGCAGAGAGAATGAAAATCATCAGGAACAATGTTGTTCAGGTGAACATTTAATGACTCGCCTTATGGTTGGGGATGCTGCTTTCAACAAAACCATAATATGAAAAACCATAATAAACAACAAACATATTTAGAATATATCCCGTGAGTTAAATCCCCTCCTCATTTTCTATGAAATATAATAGGATGATATTAATTATTACCAGTTCATGACCATGCTACAGTACTTTATGGTGAAACTTGGCTGTGAGATGAAAATTACATGAAGCTTTTATTAGGTGTTGCAGGTACATAAATGCAAAATATAGGTTGTTTTAGGTTTGGCTGCTAGGTAGTTGCTATGAAACATAATAATATTGTGTATGATTCAGCTTTTGTGGCTATAAATCAGATGTTACTGTTACAAAATTAAATGATAGGATGTTTTCATAGGTGCTGTACATGCGTAAATGCAGAAAACAGATCCTTTTAGTCTGTTGATAGTTGGTTGCTAGGCAACATCATAATGTCTGATATAGATAACAACCGGCAGCAATATCTGATGTAGATAAAGGACATAGGATGTACCTGTCTTCCAAGTCTGGTTGCTCAACCCCTGATTGTGTAGGAGGAGTTGGTGGACAGACAGACAACGAGTTCATGTATTTTAATAAGTATGTTTTAATAAACTAAATAGACCAAAAAATGGTAAAGAAGTTATGGAAGAAAACAAATCCTCACCAGTTGTTCCACTTCGCTGATTGTGCAGATGAACAGTCTCTCGTTGAGTCCTAGGGCGGTGTAGACTGCAGTAGCATCCAGCTTTAGCTGAGCTCTTTCTGTGCGCAGTCATAGGAAACAGAGTAATTTTCACCGTAATTAAAAAAAAGGAGAGCATTTGAAATTCTGTGAACACGACATAGGTTTGATGACAAACAGAATTACTCATCTGTTAGTACATTAGTCTAGCAATCTACAAAAAACTGATTATTTTAATGAAAAATAAGTGTTGGTTCTAGAAAACAAAACAAAAACATATGACTAATGCCTCCCACCTCCTGTGGAGTTCATTTTGATGAGGACATGATCTTCTCCAGCTTTTCCTAATGCTGACATTATCTCCTGTACAGATGTATTCACCGGCAGCATCGGAGTGAGAGGTTTGTTGTCTGGCCTGTAGATCTCATACAACACTAAATCAGAAGAGGACAGAAAATAAAATGTCACATCATGCTAATTTGGTGATTAATTTAAAGACTAATGGTGCCTGTTAAGTTACTGGATACTGAGATTGTTGTCCTTTATTGACATATTGCGTGACACACACGTCACAAGCACTGATTCTAAACCCTTTTCCCAACATCTGTCATCATGGTCATTCACGTGTTCATTTAAACGAACTCTAACCTGGATATGGACTTCAGCTTAGCATTTAAAACATTTTTGACTAGTTTTACTATTCCATCAATCAATCAATTTTCCTGTAGACTCCTGGTGGAGCATAGGGCTGCAACAACACCACGCCAACGGACTGTTCTGGGGCGTTCTCTTCAGCTGGGTTCACGTCATTCAGGCGGCCAGTCCAGTGCTTGCCTTGTGAAGTTGTCGGACGGTTTTCGGAGTGTGTGACCTATCCAGCCCCATTTTCTCTACTTGATGCCTTGACCGACCAGGTTCTGGCTGGTTCTCTTCCACAGGTCTGTGTTTGAGATCTTCTCAGGCCATCTGATGTTAAGGATGTGTCGCAAGCACTTGTTGATGAAAATCTGTATCTTGCTGGTAATGGTGTTGGTCACCCGCCACGTCTCGGACCCATACAGGAGGACTGCTTTCACATTGGTGCTGAAGATGCGGATCTTGCCACGCTTTCTATTCCATACTGCTATTTAATGCATATAGTGACCAAGTTGAACTTTATATTCAGTATTTTTAGTGAACATTAAACATGACCATCTAGCAAAACTGTTTATACTGTTTAGCTTTACTTCAGACACAAATTTAGCCAGGTTTGATTTTGAAGTTGTTGGTAAAGATAGATGTAAAAGTTTATGTATGACGTTTGTATGATTTGCCATCAATTTCAGTCGTTTCCTTTTTTCATTTATTTAAATATCCCCCACTAGACTTCTATCCTTATTATGGGGATTTGGTTTTCTTGATTACTGTCAGCTGTAGTGTTTGAGCTTTACTCACCTTTATCATGTGCTCTGATTGGTTGAACCCTCCCCACTGACTCCTCAAAGTTTGAAAACCAATCAAACTGGTGGTTCTGCCAATAATATAAAAGGCGACTCAGTGACACTTCAGTGACATTAAACTCTCTAATGGCAGTAGAAAGACATTTCTTACACTCTGTCACACTTTTTGGCAAACATCCCAAAGGGTTTAAGCTCCAGTAGGACTTGTAGTATAAAGAAAAACTTTCATTTTGGCCTTTAGCCTCTGTCAGGGTTATCAAAAATATACTGCAGATACAACTTTAAATAGAACACATTTTAAGTAGAGAGTTTAAGTAGAAAAGACAAGCTGTGATATATGTCTGGTATACATATCCATCAATCCACTCAAATGTGTATTTTTGGGGAGGAAATTTTATTTTTAGTAGAAAATTATTCAGCATACATATTCACCAATAGATATAAGGCCAACTGGGCCTTATACCTTATGAGCCCCCCCTCAAAATAAATTAAATATGTCATGGCTGTGTCCAGGCAGGCAGGGATAGAGGACCCAAATGCAGACTCGAAAAGGGCAGATGTGAGCTTTAACAGCTTTATTGCTGGACACAAACTGAACTAAACCGAGAGATACAAACATAAGCTAAACCGGTAAGGGAGACAGAACACACAGCTAGGGTGAGGGTACCATGCGACGACGAGCAGTAGAAGACACGGACACTAAATACACACACTTGGTAACAAGGAAGTGGTGCACAGGAGGGCGACACACCTAAATCTAATTGCTCAAGGGAAGCAAGACAGAATACACTAACCTGAGACACGGACCCTCAAAGTAAAACAGGAAACACACAGACAGACCCTCCAGACACAGACTCAGACACACGATACTGACTAGACAGGAAAGGTGGGACCGCGGCAGGTACGGAGACACCGACCAGACACTAAACAGAGGGAGCACTGAGTACAGGGACATGGGGAGCACAGGAACCAAAACCTAAAGAACTAGAAATACAAAACAGAAATCAAACCCTAATATATATGAACCAAGATGAAACCAAAGACTAATAAAAAATAACAATACAAAATCCAAAACACTGGGTCACTGACCCAGGACCGTGACAAAATATGGTTAAGGATTGAAAACTGGTTTAAAACCATAGAAAACATACTATTAAAAAAGTGCTCAAATATGATCCAGTTAAGGAATACCTTAAGGAGTTGCTACTGTAAGAGAATTTTCTTGGGCATGATATCTCTGAAAAAGGGCCAATTTTCTTTACTTAATGTGTTGTTCCTCATACTACAAGAGTTGCTGGAGCTTCAGCCTCTTAAGACATCCGCTCTTCTCCATGCACCTTTGAAGTAGGCGAAGTTGTGCCAGAAATCTGTACTTTGTTTCCACACACTCAATAACTTACCCTGCTCAGTGACTGATAGCCATTCTCCAACCTGAAAAAGTATAGAAGAATTAAAGTGTTAAATAGTATGCGAAGAATATCTATGACTGTTAAGAAATATGAAACATGATCTGATAGTGCTTACACTTTTGTCCTCCTCCTTTCTCTGAAGTCCTTGAGCACGTTGAACAGTTGTGAATTCGCTGCCATATCTTTCTTTAATCTCTGTTTCAACCCCAACATTAAAATAAAATGATTGATGAAAAAAACATACTGACACAAAAATCACATGGTGATATGTTTAAAAATTTTTTTAATTTATGACTTTGAGGCTGAGATCTCACCTCCAGAAAGTCCAAGGCAATAGGGTCTTCTTTCAGGTGAAGGCCAAACAGTGCCACCCACTGGCCAACCAACTTTACTACTTTCTGCTTAATGTTGAGAACATAGGCAGTCTTCTCCTGCTCTGAGCCCTCAGCAAGCTGTGCCTGGTAAGTGCAATGTTGGTTAAGGGTATAACACATAAGACCTTAATTACAAAATAAAAACAACATTAACTATAACAATTTATTCTGGTAATAAAATGCACTGAGAATTCCATTATATTACAAAAATACACTATAATACAGCTTTGTTTGACTACAGTAATTCTCATAAACAACACTAGCTTCACTGTTGTCAGTATAAATGACACTGTAGGATATTGGTGCTGTAGTGCAGGACAGAGCTGGCTGGAGGGCATGAAGACTTTGTGGGTGAGCAGGAAGTCACTCACACAAGAATCTGCAGGGACACAATCATCACCATAATACAGTGATTACAAAGTAACTGACTTGGTCTGAACATTTTTTTCAACAACAGAAAACAGGTATCTGTAATCTTAACAGTGTCACCTATAGCATCATTTCCATTACACTCCAACTTTATTGTTTCCAGTAGGTGTTCCAAGATTTTCTCAGGTGTTCCTGACATAACTGTGTACCTGCAAAAAGCAAGACAGAAAAAAAACAAAGAATAACTTTCAAAACCTTGTGTTTGCCTTACATTGATCCACATAAATAAAGCAATAAATTAATTAAAAAGTATTTGTTGTGTAAATGTTGACTTGTTATCTCCTCAAAAAGAAGAAGCACAAAAAGTCTCTTGACGTAATCATTGCATAGTTTGTCTAGCAGACTGTGTTTACAACACTTTGAAAGTTCTTAGCTGTATATCACAGCCGCGTAGACAATAGCGCTCTGTCTGTTTCAGATCATAGCTTTACTGTGTTTGCTTAAAACACTTCACCTTCCAGCACATCTCTAATTTCCACACCCCTCTTTCGCTCATGATGCTTTTACATGACGCTACCTCATGTTATTAACTTTTGTGTACTCTCTCACATACTTTGTTATGCTCTTGTCTATTTATGCTCTCCTCTTTTTCTCTTTTCTTTCCCTCACCCCTCCACAGCCAGCTGATTGCTGCCCCTCCCTGAGCATAGTTCTGCTGGAGGTCTGTTTCTGTTAAAACTAAGTTATTCTTCTCCATAATCACCAAGTGCTTGCTCATGGGGGATCGTCTGATTGCTGGGTTTTCTCTCCAACATCAAAGGATCTCTACAATGCAATATAAAGTGCCTTGAACTGTTTTGAATTGATTGCTATATTAATCAAATTCAATTCAAAACTTTGAGAGCACAAAAAGGGACTGAATGTTCAGAGAATAAATGTTCTTTTCAATTGTGTAGATTTACAAGTAAAGAGAAGAAAGTGGTTTAAACGTAATCTAAATAAGAGTCCTGCATCAACTTAATTGACCTTCATACTTGATAAAGTGGTTCAAGACTGATAACACGTCACTCAGAAAGGCAGGGTTAAAGTCCGCCTATTATGTGAGTGTTAGGTAATACTCCATTAATAAACGGTTAACCACATCTTTAAAAAAAATTTATGTAATCATCACTTATTGTGATGCAGTGTTTGTATTAGAGCCATGCATTATCAGCCCACACCCAGGCAAAGCGTCTTCATGATCATAAACCTACTTGTAAATTAACTGCAGTATTTTATAGAAGTTAGTAGGTCAGAGTCGCTTACTTGCTGCTGTTCCCTGCTCCTCCTTGTTCAGTCGAGTCTGCACTCTTTTCCAACACCAGCACAGTCTTCCCGTGCTCTTCCAGTCGCACTGTATTAGCCTCCACGTCCTGAAGGACAGAGAAGGATGACAACCAGTTTGAAAAGTTATTTGAAAATTTGCGTGAATCTCACATCTCTTAAATTGTCACATGGGGCTACATGTGTTCAGCAAGCACCCGATGTCTGACAGACAACTTCTGGTGATAAAAATGCAGTAAGAGGAAATCCAACAAACCTTGAGGATCCTTATGAAGTCCTGTTTATCAACACGAAGGAAATGACAATTGTCCTCTCGCAAGATGATGGTGGCGGCTCGAGGTTGCTCATTTAGCAAAGCTAGTTGCCCAAAATCCTCACCTTCATGTAGAGTAGTCACCAGACCCTATATGCACACAATACTCTGAGCTATACAGCATACTTGAAATCAATTGCAACGTGTTTTATTAGAGACAGTGGGTTTTATTAATTTGGAACCACTGGCTTTACCTTCCCGTGCGTGATCACATTTACAGAGCCTTTCCAGATGATGTACCAAGAGGTTCCTTTATCCCCTTGACTGAACACTATATTGAAAAACAAGCAGAAAGAAACCACATCAGTCAGTCATATATCTTTCTAACCATTACAACTCCTAGAAGATCACACCTTGAGAGCACCTTCCTTAAAAGTACTTTGTTAAATATGGCTTTAACATTAAAGAAATGGGTAGGATTGAAGAGAAAAAAGACCTGATGATCTTCTTATCCACAGTAAACAAAGAAATTAATTATAACATTAGACGGTCTGAATAGTCTTAATCTTATTTTCTGGAAACAATGAATGTTTCACAGAAAAAGATGCTATTTTCTGTGCATAAGAACCGTATTATCGTGTGATTCAGCAACACAATGAAGCTGTGTAAACTCACAGACTGTTCCAGCTTTGGCATGTGATTCAAAGACCAGCACTGCTGCCAGCTCCTTACGCACCTACAGGCACAGCAGGACAAGAACAGACAGAAGCGCACTGATACCTTCTGCTATCATTGTTGTAAATGGGTTTTTCTTGATTTTCACTTTCATATTTCCAGTGTATTTTTAACATTTCTTTCATGTGGCATAAAATACAAAAGAAAAATATTATGGTTGATGTATGCAAGTAGAATAGTGTCTTTTAAAAAAATATATCAGATCAAATCCATGGTTAACTATTATGAAAACTTGATAACAGTTCACATTAAAAAAAATCAATATGTAGAGCCTTTAAAAATGTTAGGGGAGTTTATAGAGACTGACTGAAGAGGAGAGATGAGCGGCAGCTTTGACGTGGAGCAGCTCCTCGTAGATAACCTCCAAGTCCTCGGGACTCCTCTGACTGGGGCTGTAAAATAAAAAAGGAAAGAAGAAGAACATAATAAGCCAAACAAAACAAAATACAGTAACTTTGCTAGCACCTTGAACTTGTTGTAAGAAGCTTTCTGACAATACAGGTTATCATGAGGAAATGCTCATGTAACAACTAAACAAACTGACCATTTACGTAGAATCATAGTGAGCAGAGCATCAGGACCAAGCTGAGACAGCAGAGACAGAGCTTCCTGTAGTTCATCCTCTGAATCCTTCTCATTCAATATGTGGTTAAGTCCAAACTGGGAGTCTTGGAAGCGATAGAACTGTGTGTCCTTGTCGAGGAAATTCAACTCGTGTTTCACTTTGATTGAGACAAAACACAGAAGAGAAAATAAAACCCTTAAAATGAAATGCAAGAATGCGGTTAGACAACTCCAACACACACGTTGCTTTAGAAACAACAACGAGGCAGATGAGTAAATTTTTAGATAAGTTTTATGCCGGTCATTTATAAAACTTTAGATAAATGGAAATAAATGCAAATGCTTTCTGAGTGAGTTCCTTCATTTGATGATGAAGCATTTCTGTCCTGATTGGAGTGGTCTCTTCCAGGAAGACAGTGTCTCATCCAAAGAGCTTAAGTGGTTAGTGAACACTTGACTGACTGAAATAACAACGCAAAACAAATGTCATGGTGGACTTGGTCACCAGATTTCAAGATACTCGAGCATGTCTGGGACATTTCTAAGTGCTGCCAAAAGCATTATCATCAGAATACATGAAAAGTAATTTGTTTGGACATTATTCCACATTCATCTACAGTTCACAAGAAGCCCTAAATTCACCCAACACATGACAAGTATCCTTCCTATTTTTCATCAAAATACTAAATTCTTCAAAAGTTAGCTCTTCAGTTCTTACCATGGAGAAGTATTCCCTCATCCACTAAGACCTGCCATATTCCCACTGCCTGACTTCTTGATTGGAGGCCTTCATTTTGGGTCATCAGCCAGTCAACAAGGTCCTTACCGGAGCAACATTGCCTATGAGAGAAATTTGCATGTAATTAAGAGACACTGTTACTTTTAATCATGAACTAAAGCACATCACCAGAATAGGTACCTGTATGTTTTGAGGTGATGCTTTCTATCTCGGATCAGACCAGGGTTCTTCTCAATCATGACACTATATACTGATCTGGCTGCCTTCACCACGCGATCTGAGAGAAACTTGATAAACATGAAAGATAGGTGAAGTTAGCAAATACAGCAAAGTTACTGTATTAGGTGAAGTGATTAAATCATAAGGGTGTTGTGTTTTTTATAAACACAATTTCTGGGTTGGTGAAAGGCCGAAGTCAGCAAAAGAAACGAGTGTTTGTGAAAGTGAGGAAGAGAATTTCCCCCTCAGTTTTGAACAATGTTGTGTGTGGAGACTTCTGTAGGTGTTGGAGTGTAATGGAGTGTTTGTGGGGGTTGCATAGGTGTCAAAGTGTAATGGAGTGTTTTTGGGGGTTGCACAGAGGTGAAAAGGTGTTAAAGATGCAAACTTAAATGCTCTGAAACTTCACTGACTTTCCAGCTTCTGACTCTGGCCAGCACAGAGCAACAACAAACTGTATGACAACTCTGAACTAGTTTCCCTTTA